ACACAGAAGCTTTTACACACAGACGCTTTTACACACAAACACTTTTACACACAAACACTTTTACACACAGAGACCCTTACACACAGACGCTTTTACACACAGAGGCTTTTACACACAGACAAGACCGGCACAAGTAAAATCGCAATTTTACCTCCCTCATTTCGTGCGAAAGGGTTGCTCGGGGACAAGTAAAATCGCATTTTTTCCTCAGTTTTGCGCATCGGCCCTCATTTCGTGCGAAAGGGTTGCTCCGGCACAAGTAAACTCGCAAATTTTCCTCAGTTTTTGACGATCGACCCTCATTTCGTGCGAAAGGGTTGCTCCAGGACAAGTAAACTCGCAATTTTTCACCAGTTTTTGACGATCGACCCTCATTTCGTGCGAAAAGGTTGCTCGGGGGCAAGTAAAATCGCAATTTTTCCTCAGTTTTTGACGATCGACCCTCATTTCGTGCGAAAGGGTTGCTCCGGGGCAAGTAAAATCGCAATTTTTCCCAGTTTTTGACGATCGACCCTCATTTCGTGCGAAAAGGTTGCTCGGGGGCAAGTAAAATCGCAATTTTTCCTCAGTTTTTGACGATCGACCCTCATTTCGTGCGAAAGGGTTGACGTTTCGTGGCTCCCCGCCGGCACCACCCTCGGCCTAAAGAGAGAAAGATAAAGAAGGCGAGAGAGAGAAAAGGGAGAGAGAAAGGAGAGAGAGAAAGGAGAGAGGAAAGAGGAGGGAGAGAGAGAGAGAGAGAGAGAGAGAGAGAGAGGGAGAGAGAGAGAGAGAGAGAGAGAGAGGGAGAGAGAGAGAGAAGAGAGAGAGAGAGGGGGGGGGGGAGAGAGAGAGAGAGAGAAGCTGTGAGTATGTGAAGATGTGAGTGATGAGAGAGAAAGTGAGCAGATGTGAAGATGTGAGCAGATGTGAAGATGAGAAGGTGTGAAGATGAGAAGATGAAGATGAGAGTGTGAAGATGAGCAGATGATGTGAAGATGAGAAGGTGTGAAGATGAGAAGATGTGAAGATGAGAAGGTGTGAGAGAAGGTGTGAAGATGAGAAGGTGTGAAGATGAGAAGATGAGATACAGACCCCCACTATTGGAAGAACCCTGCGCTCAGACGCTCTCGGGAATAAAAAACTCTCCAAACTTACATAAACAACTTATATAAACAACTATATCAACGTACGGTGACAGGGTTGAGTTGCAGCCATGATGCCCAGTCCATCTCACCCGAAATTTCCAGGTCTCTGCCCAATGAGTTAAACCCCATCAACATGAATCATTGGGATAAACCTACCATCATTCGAATGGGATGTTGCAATGAGATAGATTTTTTAAATAGTTTTGTTTTCGACTTTATCTAGATTCTGGATTATGTTAGTGGTGTATGGAAAATCTTACGATCACGAATTAAGTAACCATGGCCCCATCAAAATACATCATTCCGCCAGAACTATCTCCTTTGCAACGTCCCAGAATCAGCATCCCTATGACACCTCCATTGCTCAAATACCAAACAAATCATCATCAGGACAATTACAAGATATTATAAATATATCGTTACCTCCTGTTATCCCCTATTCTAGTTACTATCATGTGGACAGGAACCTCTAAGTAGCTCCTTGGCTCCTACCCCGACAGCCACCATTTCAACAAGGCAAGCATCTACAAATAGGCCGTGAAATCCCGAAAAAACCTGCGATAATCCCCATGAAATCCCATATCCTCTTATAAATCCCCATGAAATCCCCTTAAATCCCATTCCAACCCCTACTAAGTCCTCATGATCCTCAGTCCCATAATGATCCTCTGAACATAATCCCCTCAAAACCCATGAGCCTCAAAGTTTTCCCATGATGCCATGCCCTGAGGCGCCGCACTGGTGACGCTGGAGCTACTGATGCTTGATGTGCTGCTGCTGGTCTCGGAAACCTTGGGATCTTGGTGGCCGGACCAACCAAGCAACCAAAAAAATCAGGGGCTTAAGGGATTTGATTAAGACATTTTTTGCGACACATTTCTGAGATTTGAATGGGATTTCGTGATTGAAGACTTCATCCAATTTTCAAATCGCGGAATTCGCCAGGAAAAACTTAAGGGTCAAACGGGAGAGTTGAGTCAAGTGCCATCATCCTCCCAGGGTCATCAGCAACCAGAAACTGATGATCAAACGGATAAACAAATCCTGCACCACCAATTTGGGATGGTTGAAACCCGATAAATAATGGGATGTTTACATATGTTTACCATCTATCAACTGGCGCAGGATTTCGCAACCATCCACAGTATTTCGCATAGATCCCCTTCAGCCCAGCTGAGATGATCAGCAGAGATCATCTTGTCAGGTCGCTGGGAAGATATGGTAAATGGAAAATCCTGGATTTAAACAACAACAACAACAACAACAACGACAACGACAACGACAACGACAACGACAACGACAACGACAACGACAACGACAACGACAACGACAACGACAACGACTGATAATCAGATTTTCCATTCACCAGATTTCGAATGACATAATTGTTGTTTAAAAGATATTTTGATATGATTTATCCTGGATTTGATGTTCATCTGATTTTGAATAACACAAAGTAACGAATATCTGATTGCAAGAAAGCGAAATCTGAAATCCCAGGATAACAGTAAGTTTTGGATAACAATCATTTTCATTGATAATAAAATCCATATAAAATTCCTACGAAACCAGTGACCAAGATGGGCTTACAGGAATATAATAAGGATATAATGGGATATCAATCTTGAATCAACCACATGGGATATGCATACGCGCATATATATATATATATAACTTGAACATCATATAATATATATACACCTAAATATAAGTTTGTAAAAGGGATCTAATCATCAAGTAATAGACACTACTAATGGAATTGATACCCATATGCTCCAGGTACCCAAAAATTGACCAACATTTACCCAACATGTCCTTAGTGATCCCCCCATCCTCCCGCCCGTGAAGAAAACACCAATTACACAGATCCATGGCTGGTGTTCAGTTCGGATCCTTGGCTGGCCATGCCCTTTGTTGGGGAATCCTATATTCAAAGCTTGCAGTGCCATTGTTGTTGGCTAAATGCTCCCCTTCTGGCTCGTAAACACATACTGCCTTGGTGGCTTTGGTTGGCTGAAAGCCATTACTGCCATTTCTGCAACTTTTGCGACACCTCAAAATCCTACGGTTGCTTGATCATCTTTCCAAACAACGACTGGCTGTAGATTGAGATAATTCCAACAAACCAAACATCATCTTGTTGCATGGTTATTTCCCATTATTTCCTATATGACATATCCCCGTTGCGTGAATGGTTTTGTAGTCATGGGCCACATTGTGCAGCCAGAGCTTTTGTTGCTTTCCATTTCTGCTGGTAGAATCCATTGATTTCTTCACGGGGGCCTCGGAAGTTCCCAATGCAGCCGATCCATAAAGTGATCACCGGCTGCAGATTCCCTCTAAGCAGCGCGGTTGTCTCACTCCATCTCACTCCCAACGTCCTGGAAATAAACACACACACACACAACCATGTATATATATATATACATATAGAACATAATACATAATTATATAGTTAAGTATAGTCACCTTGAGTTTCCGAAGCCACTTCTTGTGCTTGTTTATCCACAGCGGTTTGCAGCCATTCCTTCAAACATTCGGGACAATGGTAATTCACACATCACCCTAGAAGCGAAACCTTTGGCAGGGAAGCTGGGAATCATCAAGAATATTTAACCGACTTACCCATGATTATTGGGGTTGTATCCCAACTTTATTGCTAGTTCTAGAAGTTATGTATCCCATTAAATTCCGACATGTCATCCATAAATGACTCATTTTCATCCATTTTCCATAACAAATGACCAAAAGCTAGACATTTTCGGATCATAAAACGGCCATCCATATGCTCTTCCAGGCGACCGTGAAGGAAGTCGTGGACACCGTGGAGCTGGTCGTGAAAGAAGTGGTGCTGGAAGTGGTTTCAGTGGTGGTGCTGTTGCTCACCTGGGAACGTGGGGACCTGGAAACTCGTCTTTCATGGGTATACCGGTATACCATATATACATATAATCATATATATCATATATTACATCATAGTATCATAGTACCATGTCTAATACCAATATTATTGATATTGAATTATAGATAGATGATAGATGTCAATGAATTATTACGAATGGAATAGGGATCGGTTCTGTATCTCTATCATTTTATCATCCGATTAAAACACAGAAAAAATAATGAACAATCTGGAGCGCTGTACAAAAACATCGAAAACTGTGCACATCTGAAGGGGATATGCCAGGATGTTGTGGAGTGACCTCAAAGCACATTTCGCAGATCGCAAAAAGAAGTGATTTTTTTGTGGATGGCAAGGGGGTCCAGCAAAATTATTTATCATGATATGACAGAAAAGGGAGAAATGGTGGTTTCCTGAGTCATGGGGGCACCCCTATGACAAAATCCATTTTTCCCGAATGCGTAGCAAGGGTTCCCGTTGCGTTTGTGGTCGCAACCGTTCGCAACCGTTCGCAACCGTCCGCAACCGTTCGCGTGAGGACCGTATGGCCGTGCCTATGGGAAGTTTTACAGAGGTGGTCCTTTTTGGAGGTTTCAGACGTCTGGTTGCTTCGTTTCGCGTGGCAGGCGTGGCACTTCGTGACATTCAGACGTGTTCTGAAACGTGTCGAAAGTCGTTTTGCGTGGCAGGCGCAATACTTTTGCGACGTTTTCAGAAGATGTGTTGCAGTTTTCGTGGCAGGCGCAGCGCTTTGGACGCGTCCATCGTCATTTTTCGTGGCAGGCGCAGCACTTTAGACGCGTCCTGTGGCGTGGTTTTTGTAAATCGCATTGGCAGGGCTGCGTCAAGTGGTGACAAGGTGCAAATTCCGTGGCAGGCGTGGCATTTTCTCACATGTGTTGAAAAATTGACGGAAGCCTCGCACGAAAGATCGATTTTGAGGTTACAAATTTTCAGGTTCTAAGGAAAACTCGTAGGAAAACGTCGATTTTGGAGCTGCAAAGTATGAAAATTGGAGGAAGTCTCGCACGAAATGCTCGTTTTGGTGCTCCCACCTGTCTCGTCTCGAGTCTCTGGTTTTCCTGTGGCCTCGCCGTGTCTATGGGGGAAGCTGCAAAACTTGTCCTTTTGTCATGTTGCCAACTGTGAAAATTGGAGGAAGTCTCGTACGAAATGCTGGTTTTTCTGCATTCACGTGTCTTGTGTCGAGTCGCTGGTTTTCCTGTGGCGTCGCCGTGTCTATGGGGGAAGCTGGAAAACCTCTCCGATTCGAATGTGTCCAAGCAGGTTGTCATGTCGTTTTGCGTGGCCGGCGTGGCACTTTGTGACATTCCAACCTGTTTGATAATGTGTCGAACATATCAAGCTTGGAGGAAGTCTCGCACGAAATGCTCGTTTTTTTGCGCCCACGTGTCTCGTCTCGAGTCTCTGGTTTTCCTGTGGCTTCGCAGTGTCTATGAGGGAAGCTGCAAAATTTCTCCTTTTCCAAGGTTTCCAAGCAGGTTGTCATGTCGTTTTGCGTGGCAGGCATGGCACTTTGTGACATTCCAACCTGTTTGATAACATGTGGAAAATATCAAAATTGGCGGAAGTCTCGCACGAAATGCTCGTTTTTTTGCACCCACGTGTCTCGTTTCGAGTCTCTGGTTTTCCTGTGGCGTCGCCGTGTCTATGGGGGAAGCTCCGCACTCCACACTCTACACTTTACACTCCGCACTCCACAATTTACACTTTAGACTCCACACTGGACACTCTACACTTTACACTTTGCACTTTACCCTCCTCACTCCTCACTCGAGACTTTACACTCCACACTTTACACTCCACACTCCTCACTCTACACTTTACACTCCACACTTTACACTCCACACTTGACATTTTACACTCCAGACTTTACACTCCTCACTCCACACTTTACACTCCACACTCCTCACTTTACACTCCACACTCCTCACTTTACACTCCACACTCCACACTTCTCACTTTACACTCCGCACTCCACACTCTACACTTTCCACTCCACACTCCACACTCCACACTTTACACTCCACATTCCACACTCCACAATTTACACTTTAGACTCCTGACTCGACACTCCACACTCTACACTTTCCACACTTTACACTTTGCACTTTACACTCCTCACCCGACACTTGAAACTCCACACTCCACACTTTACACTCCACACTCTACACTTTACACTCTACACTTTACACTCTACACTCCACACTTTACATTTTACACTCCACACTTTACACTTTACACTCCTCACTCCACACTTTACACTCCACTTTCCACACTCTACACTTTACACTCTACACTTTACACTCTACACTCCACACTCTACACTTTACACACTCCTCCTCACTCCACACTTCACACTCCACACTCCGCACTCTACACTCCACACTCCACACTCTACACTTTACACTCCGCACTCCACACTTTACACTCCACACTCCACACTTTACACTCCTCACTCCACACTTTACACTCCGCACTCCTCACTTTACACTCCACACTTCACACTCTACACTTTCCACCCCACACTCCACACTCCACACTTTACACTTTACACTCCACACTCCACACTCTACACTTTACACTCCACACGCTACACTCCACACTCCACACTGCAGACTGGTAACAGGGGAAATATGTACAAGACTGTTCAAATAAACTATTGCAGAAAAGTGTTCGGCGTGATTGCATATCCATGTGTTTTGACATCTGTTATACGTGTGAGCATTCGGGTTCGTGGGCTGCATCTTGTTTGGACTGGGATAAACCTATGAAAAAAGCAAATCCAGCGTTTTTGGGGTATCCCCATGGAAAACACCGATGCTACATAGCCCAAGTTGATCATGTTTGATTCCAATCGACGGGATCAAACATGACAAGCCATTTACATCAATTTGTGAATATTTGATATATTTGCGATTTACTGCCCAGTGTATATCGCTTCCTTTGACAACCAATGGGGCTTCTGAAAGATGTCCATGTCATAGCCCCGACCATCTTGGTCAAGAGGGCATCCAGCTGAACTCCCATGGTGCTAATTTTAGATGAATTCGGGGCACCCGCATTGGAAACTTCCAAGTGCTTTATTGTAGATATTTGAGGTTGGTTAATGTTGCTTTCAGTATGTCAATTTATGTCATAGATATCTGGCTACGACTTGTGAGTTCCATGCGCAGTCAAATCTCTTTTCTGAACCTGCAAGCAAAAAAAATCTAAACAAAACATTTAAAAACACTGATAATTGGTGAACATCCGCCATCACTCTTGGTACAAAATCGGAGACCCCCATGAATGAATTGGAGTTTTCTGGCGCCACTTCCCAAAGCCGGTGGTGCCATCCCATTGCCCAGGCACCGTGGTGCTGGATGTCGTGCTACTCTGCGTTTTGGACGTCGTGGAGATCGTCGTGCTCCACGACGTGGTCTGCGTGGAGGAGGTGCTGCTGCTGACGGTCACTGAGGACGTGGTCCGTGTCGAGGAGGTCACCGTCACCGAGGAAGATGTGGAGCTGGTCACCGTCAACGAGGAAGATGTGGAGCTGGTCACCGTCAACGAGGTCGTGGTAGGCTGAAGCGATGGGATGGATGGAATGGGGGCATGGAGGGAGCCAAAAAGAGGTGGGTGGGGTTGGGATGCCCTATAATTTTTTGTTAGGGATTTTGTGAAGTAGTAGATATTTCAAGATAACTAGATGGAATAAGGAAAAATCATGGTGGGTATATGAACTGAGACAATTATTGTCAAGTGCAACGAAAACATCACTGTGGGACGGGCATGACTGAGATGATTCAACCGTGATGGATAGATCTTGGGGCGGGTGGGGAGCTGGGTTTTTCGATGGCAACACATCGAGCTGGAAAAAAGGTCTGTGATACAACAACCATGTGCACTTTGCCAAGACAGAGTTCTTTAAACTGTTTACACTTCAATTTCATCAATACGACGCATGGGTCAAGACACGTCAAGACCTGTGGGTGAAAAAAGGTAACCAAAAAAATGAGATTTTGGTCATTTTGCGATGAAACCTCGGATTCAAGTTGTTCTATCCATCTTACCCCAAAAATGCTCTATGGTGCTGGTATATTTACCTACACCATTTTTGGGGTAAATGTAGGTGTGCATATTCCAGCACCATGGAGCATTTGGGTTAAGTAATCCCTTCAGATTTAAGCTTCCATGGATCCGATGCCAATGATGTGGCTCGGGGAGGTGAACCACTGTAAAACCAGTGGAAGAGGGATGTCCGGATCTGGGATCTGGCAGCATTTTTCTCTACCAAGGGATCCTCCGTTCAGTGATGTTCAGTGGAATGATCAAGGGGCATGGCCATGGCCATGGTGTGACGAAATCCATTTGGATATTCGTTTGGATGATACGGCAGTCACATTGATTCCCAATTCTTGAGGGTCAATCCCCACTGTATTATTTTAGGACCTTATTGTTAGTTCAACCCACACTATGCGATGAATTATTGAATTTCAACAACATACTATGATCATAGTAGGTCATAGTCACATAGTGATCATGTTAAATCCGTGAACTCCGGATTTATCACTCATTTTTGATATTTAAATCCCATGAAATCCCATTGAATACCAGTAATTAAACCACCAGTAAACCCCATAAAATCCAATTAAATCACTATAAAATCCCATAAATCGCGATATATCCCATGGAAACCCACCAGTTTTTGGGGCTGTTCTCTTGATGACTAGGCATCCCTACACCCGGCACGCAGACGCAGGAGGCCGAGACCGTTTGGCAACCGACACCTATCGGGGGAACTCATGGGGTTATTAATGGTAATTTATGGATTATCAATTGGTAATTTACGGTGATTTATGGTGATTTAGTGTGATTTAGGGTGATTAATGGAATTTTCAATGGTGATTTTCATGGTGATTAACGTAATATGATGGTTTGACCAACAACAATAGGGATTAATGGTGTTTTATGGTGATTAATGATGATTAATGATTAATGGAATAGCTTATGGTGGTTAAGAGTGATTAAAAGTGATTACCATGAGGTAAACTAACATGTGGAAATCCATTAGTTGTAGATATTCAACGGCCATTTCGGGAACCTAAACTGGAGGTACCTACCATATATATGGCCTATTTTTCAGGCCTATGTAAGAGAATATCCCCACAAAATATGGACTTATATGGTACAGTACCTCCATTTTAGGATCCTTTTTTATTCCCATGGTTTTTCAGCAGCAAAGAAGCAGGGGATTTCAATGGTGGGTTGAAACATCATGGATTAATCACGGCATGGCTATTTTTATGGCTTTTATAATCATGGCTATAGTGGAGATAATGGGTTTTAAATATGTTTTAATTGTTTTTAATCATGGTTTGGCTTTTCATGGCTATAATGGTGGTCAAATGATGGAAATTCTTAAGGGGGTTGGTCCAGAATCTGTAGGAGATGTTAATCATTGCGTTGGTTTATCCATATGTTTTATCAGTGGGTTGACTCCATGTTGCGTCAATGGCTAGTGGTTAATAATGGTTCATAAATTGGCAATCGTGTTGGATAGAACGGCATTATACTGGGGATAGTGTTGTATTAATGGTCATAGTAGCTTCCAGAAAGTTGCGCATTTATAGATGATCTAGCTATGAAACAGAGTGATTTTACAAAATCATGTTAGCTTACTGGAGGGTAATCACTGTCAACAATTGCTAACCTGGTTTTGGGCGGGAAAATCATTGCAATGGGCAATCAAAAATACTGATTTGATAAATGACTAAGAATAGTTTCTATTTGACAATGTCTTATCAAATTAAATGGGTATCATTTCTGACTGGCTGACGAACCTTACAAGATTCACCATGGAAGATGTGAATGGTATCCACCAATTGATTTAAACATATCCAAAAATACATTGCCGGGGAAAAACACATCGCTGCTCATGGTAACCAAGAAGTGGTATGTTAGTTGGATTCCATAGGAAGTAAAACCTGCATAGAGATAGCCACTAGCGTTGCATAATGGAGATCCTAGCGTCACGCTGACAATTCGATGGTGGCATGACCCAACCGCAAAAAAGGGATATGAAGCAATATGAACCATGGCTAACCATGGCTTACTGTGTTATGGACCCGATTTTTTTTTATGGTTTTTCTCATCAGTTTCATGGATTTCGATGGGCTCCAGATCGAAAAACCCATTGGCTGGAGAGTGATGCCAGTGCCACCCGGATTCCCCAAACCATCGGGCCGGGGCCTAAACGGGGTGAAATGGGTGAATTACCGATGACAATGCACAAATTACCGATGCCAGCGGTCAAGATTTTTTTCACGAGCAAACGGCCCATCGAATAGCGTGGTTCTCAGGGCTTGCAGGCCCTCAGCTAAAGTTGAGCAAATCAGCGTGATTGCATCTTCCTGGCCCACAAGATCTAGTTGTAGAGCCAAATCTCTATCACATGCCACATCATCAATGTAGCAAATTCCTGCCAGTGGCAACGGAATGTTGCATTGTCCATCTACATTCTTTCCGATGGCCAAAGCACGGCCATCACTACAGAGAAGCACGGTATGACCAATGTCTGCAGATATCCGGGTGTATTCTAATTCCTCATCCAAACGTGGGATGTTGCATTGTCCAAATCCATTGGATCCCACTGCAACAGCAAAGCCATCACTACGGAGAAGCACTGTATGATGAAAGCCAGCAGAAATCTGGGTGTACACTGCCCCCCTCGGTTGGCTCCAATGGCAACAGCACTGCCATCGCTGCGGAGAAGAACTGTATGACCAATGCCCGCAGAAATCTGGGTGTATTTGATACCCTCATCCAAACGTGGGATGTTACACTGTCCAAAGTGGTTGTTTCCAATGGCAACAGCACTGCCATCACTACGAAGAAGCACTGTATGAGCCAAGCCAGCAGAAATCTGTGTGTATGCCATTCCCACGTCCAAATTGGGGATGTTGCACTGTCCATACTTATTGTCCCCGATGGCAACAGCATCACCATCACTACAGAGAAGTACTGTGTGACTGGTGCCTGCAGAAATCTGATTGTATGTAAGTCCGGCATCCAAAGGAGGGATGTTGCACTGCCCCTCTCGGTTGGCGGCTCCAATGGCAACAGCACTGCCATCGCTGCGGAGAAGAACTGTATGACCAATGCCCGCAGAAATCTGGGTGTATTTGATACCCTCATCCAAACGTGGGATGGGAGACAGCCATACGGTGCTTCTCCGCAGTGATGGCAGTGCTGTTGCCATCGGAAACAACCACTTTGGACAGTGGATGTTACACTGTCCAAAGTGGTTGTTTCCAACGGCAACAGCACTGCCATCACTGCGGAGAAGCACCGTATGGCTGTCCAAAGTGGTTGTTTCCAACGGCAACAGCACTGCCATCACTGCGGAGAAGCACCGTATGGCTGTCTCCCGCAGAAACCATTGCTCAAATCAAGGATGAGATGATGTTAGGTTTTTGTCTTGAGTCTTGGGTATCATGCGCAGCAATGCATTGTGAACAGTCAATTACGGCACCCCAAAACGGGATGGTTTATACATGTATACATGTATAAATTTAAATATATATATATATATGCTATATATTATACGGTATATACATATATAGTAATAAAAATAAATAAATATATATATATATATATATTTATTCTAATATACATATCATGTCATATATGTATCATAATATCACATCACCATGTCATCATATCATATCATAACATATCATGTCATATCCTTTAAATCCGAACATCGATATATTATATGTATGTATACATGTATATACATGTATTAGACATAACCTTCACCGGGCCCATGATGGTATCGGAAAACTCCTGGACTCCTGGGCTGCTGAAAATGGGTTTTCATAGCCATGGGGGTACCCCCAATAGATGGATGGTACCGGGGGTAACCCCATGTATTGGAAACCTCCATGTATGTATGGGTATATACTATATACCTATGATTACCTATGCATGTATTGCTTTTCCAACGGCATGAAACGTAACTACTTTGGGAGCTGAGCCCCACGAGGTCCTGCACCTGTGTGGTCATTCCAATAGACCGTGTCTTGCGCTGTGTGGTGCCAACATCCGACCTACAGCAGGGGTCGGAGTTGCTGCTGTTTTTTGTGAACGTTTTATTTGTTGGAGCCCAGAAGCATGGCAGATTTTTTCATATGGATTCGAGATAGGACTCATATTCCATGATTGATTTATGGGACCAATTAGTTCCTTTCTATGTGAGAATAAGCTATGGATCCGAATCATATGGACAACATAGCTATGGTATATCACCATGAAATAACTATGGTTTGGTATTATAGATACCTAATATGTTGTACATCTGTTATATATATAATATGTTATACCAATAATACATATATATATATAACAGTTAATGATAATATAAGGGTAAATCACCATATACAACTAAGTATTCACCAATTAAAGAAAATGTGGTTATAACAGTTATAACTATGGTATGAACTGAGCCAAACCCAAATATTGTAAACGTCTAGTGATAACTAAGGGTATTTAGACTCTTACAGTATAAAATGGTCATATGAGCATCAT